TGTCTATGCGCAGGCGTCACGTGGGGATCAAACGTGTCTATGCGCAGGTGTCATGTGGGGATCAAACGTGTCTATGCGCAGTGTCACGTGGGGATCAAAACGTGTCTGGAGGTGGAGACGCCAGTGCCCCAACCTGAGCGTCACACACCGTATTCGTGTACTGGACTCGCTGCACCCCACTGAGACGTGCACCCTAAATCACACTCAGCAAAGAGATGAGGAGCACGGAGACCGTGGGCACGGCGCTGGGCGTGCGGTGGAGGGCAGGGGCCATGGGCCGCTGGAGTGGCCGGGGTCCGGTTTGAGGGCCAATCCCTCGCCTCCTTTCTCAGCCGCCTGGGAGCTGAGGGAACTTTTAGGATTTTCCCCAGTGGAGGGATTAAGCCATGGGAGAATTATGTCAAACTCAAAATTCCAGTGTCCATGAGTAAAGCATGGAGCCCCGTCCGCCTCTGAGCTGTCCCCCAGGACATGTTCTCAGGCAGACACGTCAGTGTGCCCCGTGGACAACACCGTTCCTCGTTCCTCCAGTCTTGAGCAGACGTGCTGCCCATGGGCGTCCCGGACCCTCTCCCACCCAGCACCTCCCTCAGCGGCCACGTGCCGCGACACCCTGCTCAGATGGCCCCGCCCCGGTCTCTGCCAGCATGGCCATGCAGAGGAGTGGATGCCGCCGGCCACCAGCCGCCACCGCGCCCTCACCTCGCACGCTGCACTCGAAGGTCTGGCTGACCACCCCCGTGTTGTTCTCCTTCTCCGCCGGCCACTGGTACACGTAGACTGTGGTTCGCGACGACCCCGCATCCAGCACAACCCCGTACTGCAGGAAGAAGGAGACAGAGTCGGGCACAGGCCAGACCCCCAAAGACGCCGTCCAGAAGCCAGACTCCCCAGCCTTACACCTCCCTCGGTGGGTGACCTGGAGGACTCTGCCTCCAAAACAGCTCCGCAGCAGCCAGGACAGACGAACCAGGCTGGGCCTGGGCATGGTCCTCACTCTCCCAAGCGGCCACATCCTGCTGGGGTCTCAGCGTGGCCGGCCAGCAGCAGGGGTTATGTGTGCCCAGAGGCGCCCAGCAGGTGTCCTCATCCCCCATCGGGGCCCCCACATGAGGTCGGCAGCCCCTGGGCCCAGGGAGAGACGAATGCTTAGTCACTGGGGCCTGGTTTCCAGACTCTGCAGCTTAGCTGGGGTTTAACACGCTCACAGCGTGGCCCCATGCTGCAGTCCTGCGCCTGCCAGGCACCTTCTCGACTGTCCCATGCAGGCCTGGGCCTCTTCCACCACCCGTGCGCGGCCGCCCACGGGGCAGTCACGCACGCATGTGCAGTGGGTCGAGCCATGGGAATGTGCTGAACCACAACAGGAAGCTGCACTGTGGACGCTCTCACAAGGAAGACAGGTCAGTTCCCGCGCACCCCGGAGTAAAAGGGTTCTGCTGAGCGTGCTGCACAGCTGTCATCCCCGCACTCCAGAGGCTGAGGCAGGAGGATCGCTACAAGTTAGAGGCTAGCCTGAGCTATAGAGCTAGATGCTGCCACAAAAACAAAAGGAAAAGACCAAGACAAAAAGTATTCCTACATAAGAGGAAAGAAACGAACCAGAAAGCCACGCTGACACGGCTCCCACCCTGGGGTACCTGAACAGTGACAGGCTGGGTGGGGGCGGAGTGGGCCACAGGGCCCGGAAGGGGCCTCGAGGCCTGGACGAGTGCTGGCCAGGGTAGCCCCAGGCAGCCCCAGGGAAGAGGGGTGTGAGCAGCCCGCAGGCAGCTGGACTGGACGCTGACCCTGCCTATGCGCTGCAGCTTGACCAGCCAGGACCACCCAGGGTGGCAGCTTCCTCGCTCTACCCCAGCGGGTGGGCGGGTGACCTCCAGGTCCCTGGGGAGGAGGGGGCTCCCTCCTCTGCAGATGACGTCCTGAGCACGAGCCGGGTCCCTGCTTGGGAAAAGGTTTCTACACACAGAGAAGCGGATCAGGCAGAATCAATAAAATCACACAAAGCCCAGGGTGGGTGAGCTGGGCAGAGCTCTGTGGTGGGCGGCGCCCTGCGTGCCCAAGGCCCTGGGTTCGAGGCCAGCAGCCCGAGAGGAGAAAGCAGGACACAGAGCCCACTGCTCCCCCCAGCCTGACCCGTGTCTGCGTGCGGCCTCCTACGTGCGCATGTTTGGACGCCTGTTTTAGGCCAACACGGAACCACACAGGGCAGAGTGGATTTTCTTTTGCACTCCCTTTTCCGAACAGTATGCGCCGCACGTCCCCCCGTGGTGAAAGCAGGTGGACCCACCCGTTCCTGCGCGTCACTCGGTCCACTGAATGCAGACAGGCACCGGGTTCCAGGCAGCGGAGGCCCCAGCCTCCCCCCATAGCCACAGTGTGCGTGGGGGACCACGTCGGCAGCTGCCCCCCAACCCACACCAAAGCACAGACTCCGGGCAGTGTGCACACCAGCCAGGCCCCTCGGCCGGGCGTGTCGCTCGAGATCCTGACCTGATGCCTCAGTGTGGTATGAACAATGTGGCATTGTTCACCGTCCACCCAGCCAGGGGCCGCAGTGAGATTAAAGCGCAGCTGAAACCAAGGGCAGGAGGAAGACAGCCGTGGGAGTCCTGACTCCCACTTGCCGCCCCTTCCAAGGCCGAGGCAGCTGGTCACCGCCTCCTGGTGCTGAGGTGACCCGGAGACCAGGAGGGCAAGGACACAGGGCTCCGCCTTCCCCACCCACAGGGGAGCCCCCCAGGGTCTGAAGCCAGCTCTGGAAGGACAGCGAGCATCCCTTCTCCGTAGCAACCCTGCAGGGTCCACGTCCTCCACGGCAGCCCCATATCTTTGCTCGGTGTCTGCAGCCGGGCACCTGTGCTGTGTGGACAGTGCCAGCCTCGGCTCGACTCCGCCTGGTCCACCGCACGTGCGTCCACAAGAGGAGAGTGAGCCTGCACCAGGGTCAGAGTTCTCAGCCTGAATCAGAGCACCTCGGCGTGGGTGCACGGGGCCAGGTGACTCAGATGACATCATGAGTAACCCTGTCCAGAGTGCCCGCACGGAAGACAGCGCGACAGCACCCGACACTAGCAGCACGCACAGCTCCAGGGACCGCACCCAGCGCTTTGGGAAGCGTCACCACCCGTACAGGCCCCTTCCTTGCTCAGCAGCTGGGCAGACCTGGGGCCAGGCCGGGGCAAAGCTGGACACCAAGCCCTGAGCTTTCCCTGAGCCTGGCCCCAAGTGGAGGTGGTGCCTGCCCAGCAGTCGGTGCCCACGGTGGGGCACAGGCTCCTGTGTGGGCACAGCGGCCTGCGAGCGCGTTGCTGGTTCGGGCTCGCGCAGGGCTGGCTGGAGGGCCAGGTTGCGTGGTCTGGACTCTCCCGAAGAGGGGAAACCCGCACCCACCTCTGTCTCCAGCAGGGCCGTAACCCCAGAACTCCAGGCTTCCAGGCTGGAAGATTCCAGCTTTTCCAAGGCCCACAGGCTGTGCTGCGCGTGAGCTCCGCACTCCTGGGCCCTGGTGCCAACGTGGGCAACTAAGGTGGCACACCCGCCCTGGGAGCCTTGTGCCCACCCAGGCTCCACAGTGACGTCTTGTGGCTGCAGGGCCTGTGGCACTGGTGCGACACGTGACCCTGAGGCTGGGGCCCCAGGAGGACGCACACCGAAGGAGAAAATAAAAGTGATGGCCTCAGGCTCAGGGCTGCACCTGCAGAGCGGGTCAGACCAGTAACTTGGGCGTCTTGACCCCAGCTGAGGTTAACAGTCGGCTCCTAGACGCACCAGCCCGAGCCCAGGCTGGCTTTGAGCAGGCGTCCTGGAGGGCCTGCGAGGCTGGGGCTGCCCGTACCCTGCCGCCCGTGTCCTCAGGGGACAACGGAAAGCCTCCTCAGCCTCAGGCAGAGCTCTTCCCACCCGGCACTCACACAGCCCCAGGCGCAGCGGCTGTCACCGGGACCTCGCCATGGTGCCTCCTGGCCAGGTCATCGCCCACCTTGGTGGACGCCGTCCTGTCCCGATGCTGTGGGACCCGAGCGAGCCTTGGCCCAGCAGGATGAGGGTCGCCTCTCTCCCCTCCGGGAAAGTGCTTGCCGGCCAGCATGCGCCCTGCTGGCCTTTCCCGCCACATCCTCGGCCCCCTCCCCGTCTCACCCGTGTGACCTCAGACGCTGTTGTCCTTTCTGTTCTGGGTTTTCTCGGCCCCACAAAGGGGGGATAACAGTGTTACCGACCCGGGCTGAGCGTCCAGTGGGACCAGGGACACACGGCCCCATGGCCCCCTAGGGGACACTGTGAGGGCCCAGCCGGCCACTTCCCACCCTTGCACCCTGGGTGGTGCCGAGGGCCCAGGCGCTCCCCAGCCTGGCTGGGGACCTGACCCGTCTGTCGTGAGGTCCCTCCTCCCAGCTCCCTGGGTCAAGTCACAGCCTGAGAAGATGGGGCCCTGCATCGTGGGACCGGTGTATGGGATGGCCCGCTCCACACCCACGGGCTGCGGAGCTGCAGGCCGGCGATGACCACACACAGCGGCAAGCAACAGGGCTCAGCAGGGACACAGCAGGACACTGAAACCTCACAGCCTGTGTGGCCAGCGGAGGTCCAGACCCAGCCCGCACTCCGCAGGTCACGGGCTTCCACGCTGCGTTCAGAATGTCCGTTCTTTTCCAGTAACAGATTAATCCTAGAATACTCTTTTATTTTATAAACGTTTAGGTTTGTGAAACTTTTTCACTGTTTTGTGATAGTACTCTAAAATGCAAACACATTGTAAAGCTATACAAAAGCTTTTTCTTTTCTCTGGGAGGCTGAGGCAGGAGGATGTCAAGTTTGAGCCAGCCTGGGCAACTTAGTGACTTAGTAAGAACCTGACTCAAAATTAAAAATTAAAAAAGGGCTGGGGACGGAGCTCAGTGTGAGGGCTCCGGGTTCAGTCCCCAGCATTGCAAAAACCAAAACTTTCTTTATATCCTTACTCTGTGTTTTCTATTAACTCTCAACTTTTAAACACTTTTGTTAACAACTAGGATACATTAACTCTGGCCCACAGGCAGCGTCCTCACTCGCTCTGCTTCACCTCAGCCTGTTTTCTGGTCCTGCACAGGCTCTGCGGGGCGGTGAGAACGGGGCGGTGAGAATGGGGCAACACCGGCCTCCAGAACCGGGCTGAGAACATGGCTGAGGCTGCCTGCAGGTAACACTTGCTCAAGGGACCACACACGGCGGCAGAGCGTGGTGCACATGCAGCACACACATGGGAGCAGAGCGTTGTGCACATGCAGAGCACACATGGGAGCAGAGCATGGTGCGCACACAGCACACACACAGTGTACACATGGGAGTAGAGCGTGGTACACACGCAGCGCACACGCAGGGCACACACGGGAGCAGAGCACTGCACACTCAGCGCACATGCAGGGCACACACGGGAGCAGAGCACTGCACACACAGCACACACACAGGGCACATGCAGGGCACACACGGGAGCAGAGCACTGCACACACAGCACACACGCAGGGCACACAGGAGCAGAGCACAGTGCACATGCAGTGCACACGCAGGGCACACACGGGAGCAAAGCACTGCACATGCAGTGCACACGCAGGGCACACACGGGAGCAGAGCATGGTGCACACGCAGCGCACACGCAGCGTGCACACAGGAGCAGAGTGACGTGAAGGGACACACCGCCTGTGCCTGCCGTGCTGCGTCACACCGGCGTTAGTGAGGCAGATCGTGGACACCAGCGTCCTGGTGCACTGGGCAGCACGCACACGTGGACACGGCTGTGGTGACGGCCTGGGCGCGGGTCCATCTCGGCGCCTTTACCCTTCCAGGCCCAGGGTGCGGGCGCCTGGTCAGGCGGTGCGTCAGTTCCTCCTCTACTCTGTCGCCCATCTGCACTCTCTGCCCCTGCGGTGAGGACTGGGCTCCTCCCCGCCACCAGAGCAAGGGAATTCTCAGCCAGCGCCGCTGCCCCTGCCCGGCCCGAGCGCGTGGGGGCTGGGGGGCTGTGGAGGGCCCGCCCGCCTTGCTCCCTTCCCTCCTGGAATCAGCACAGCCCACGGCCTCGTGGTCTGCAGTGACTGTTCGCCCCACCCGACGCCCAGTCTGCGCCCACCTCCTCGCAGAGCCCACAGGAGGAGGGCAGCACAGAGCAGCACCCGGTGCTGGATGCACCTCAGCTGGTCCCGCCAGAGGGGCCTGGGCTCGGCCCGGCCGTCCCGTGTCCCGTGGTGGGAGATGACCCTGGCGCACAGCCAGAGCTGCTCCTTCCAAAATGGGGCACCCCACGGAGCCGAGCAGGCGCTGGAGTCCAGGCTGTCCTAGGCTGGCCTTCCCACCCAGCCCCACCGCTGCACCTGCGCCTGCCCAGCTCGCCCCTGCAGACGAGGCTGTGCGCTGCCCACGGCAGCCGGGCAGTGAGCAGAGATGGCCCCAGCCTTGGGACCAGGGGCCCGGAGGTCAGCTCCGGTCCTGCTGCTCACAGGCTGAACCTGCCGAGGGCACTACCCACGTCCACACCGCAGGGAGCAGATTGGGCAGCCGGCACACAGCGTAGTGGGCGCTCATCTGGGCTGGAGTTCAGGGAAGAAGCAGGGCCCGGTGCCTGGAAACAGGTTCTAGACCTCAGCTCAGGTCTTGGGGCAACCAGATCATCTGTTCTCCTCTTGCGGCCTCTTGTCTCACGGGATTATTCATAAAGGCTGCGGTTCTTAAAACCCAGATGCTATTCTCCAAAGGAGATTTTACTGCAACCCTGCAGGAAGTGGCCATGGACTGTCAGAGTGAGCCCAGGACAATATTAGTTTCTTTTCTCTTTCAACTGCAGCCTGAATCGTGGCCAAGGCAGGAGGGCACAGGGAGGATGGCACGGGCAAGTGCTGCGCCACCTGAGGCTCACGGGACACAGGGAGCTCCTGGGCCTGTGCAGCTGTCCCGGCTGAGAAGGCTTTCTACATCCTGAATGAGCCGGAGACCAAAGGACAACACGCAGCCAGATCACAAGGGGCCCCCAAAGCCAGGAGTATGTACTGCAGGGGGCCTCTCCGCAGATGGCCTGCTGACCTCAGATGCTGGGAGGGCTCTGTCATCACTGCTCACCCACAGCCCTCCCGGGGCCTCCTCCTCCCAGGGCAGCCTGGAGCCACAGCTGGAAGAAGCTGGGTTCTCCTCTCCAGGATGTCCGGGGACAGACTCATCAAGTGCTGCTGGGACCAAGCGCAGGTCCTGAGGCTTTGCAAGGAAAGTGTCAGAGGAGTCATGGCACAGGGACTAGACCCAAGAGAGGCGGCACTAATTCAGCCCAAGGAGACCCTCATAAGACCTCCCTGTCCATCCAGGCCAGGCTGGAAGAGGAGCCCGGGTCTCCTGGTCAGGGCTGTCCAGGAAGGGACAGGCACCGCACTGATCACCTGGAAAACTGTGGCCATGTGCAGTTCTTGGCTGCCAGCTGTGTCTTTGGCCAGAGCCAGAAGTCAAAGCAAGACCACGCAGTCCTAGGGAAACTTCACCCCACAACCGGTAACCCCCAGCGTCATCACCCAGTGGCCTGCTCCTTGCACCTTACACCACATTCTCCTGCTCCAGAAGGAGGCAGAGGAGAGGACGTCCATGGGGGGAGGACAGTTGGTGCCACAGCCCATCCCTGTCCGACGCCAGCTCTTTCCCGCTTACCTTCAGCCCTGGAGGGATGACCTGGGAGTGTCGGGTCTGGACGAGAGTGAGCGTCACGAGCACCACGATGCTCAGCAGCAAGACCACCAGGCTGATGATGGCCGGGGTCCGGGAGAGGGTCTTCAGGCCTGCGTGGGAAGACCCGGGAGACATGTGAGGGAAGGCAGGAACTGGGCGTTGGGCTCCTGGTGGGACCCACACTCACGCACACCAGTCAGGGGCCCGGCCTTTGTGAGACCCACAATTTTAAGATGTGGTAGCAACCATTTACCTCCCCAAAAACTGCAGACCCTGCAGGGAGGGCGTTTTGGTCTGGTTCTCCCAGGTTTCTCAAAGCGTAGTGTGCAAACGACTGGTCATCCCTGGGACGTTTACAACAGCACTTAAAATTAGAGTTTTAAACCCAGGTTTTCTATTAAAGCGGATGCTATATTTTATTTTAAACTAATCCTCCGTAAAAGGAATTAGTGCTGTGTGGAAGTTAGTAAGTGGCAACAACTTCATTTCTGTCACGTTCTAAAGCAAGCAGCTCGCAGAGGTCAGAACAGTGCCTGCTGCCTTTGGGGCGGGGACTCGCGGGAAGAGCACGGGCACTTCGGGGGCACACGGGCCGTGGGTGTGCTGTCGTGCTAAGAGGGTCGTGGGCTACACAGGGGTGTGCCCTTGTCAGGTTTCATCAAATCTCTCAAATCCTTTGGAGAAAACTTGAAAATCAAAGCAAACGGGCTTCTTAGGTACAGCTTCCCTTAAAAGAAATGCTCGTAAGTTCCTCCACTATTCTAAAACATATTTTCAGAAGGCAAGCACACCAGTTTAGGGTTATGACTTAAGGTCTGTCTATATCACTACATAACATTATATGTAAATTTTTAAAAGGACAAAAAGATATTCAATTAAAATATTGATAAATAACAGCCTTACTAGAACCCCCTGTTAAGGCATAAGTATAAATGGCTGAAATATTATAAACCGCGGCATAACAAAAAGATAGTAAATCCCACTGTCTCCTACTAACTGACTATTTACTGTGAACTAATCCAAATTTTAAACCTGCGCAGTTCCTCACCCTCCCTGGTCACATCTCAGGCCTTGGGAGCCGCACACGCCCACAGGCCAGCGCGGCCGCGGACGTTTCCATGCCTGGGAACCTGCCCCAGCAGTGGCGGGCAGATCCCAGCCAGGCCAGAGGTTCACCCCGGGATCAGCACAACCTACGCCCTGCTGCTTCATGACTTCCAGGTTTTCCTGGAGGACAGCGAGGGCCCAGGGACGCCACCACTGTGGACGAGACCCGGCCCACATCCAGCCCACCAGGGCGCTCGCTGCTTGGGGAGGGCGGAGGAGGGCAGAGGGTCTCAGGCGCACAGCTTGCTGCTCCTGCCCCCCAGCACGGATGCAGTCGTGGGCACTTCCCGGAGCCCAGCAGTCCCTAGCATCTCAGTGTCGGCCACATCACTGGGCGCACAGACTGTCCAGTACCAACAGAGGGCGCGGGACCCCACTTCTGGAAGGCTGTGGTCCCTCCTGACCCACCCTCCCTGTGCTTGTGCGCAAGGCTCCCCATCCAGGAGGCCTTTCTAACAGCTCCTGGAGCGGAGCTGGCCACCCTGAAGCTGCCCTTGGAGCAGCTCTCCTCTGCGACCCCAAATCAACGACAGGAACCCGGCAGGAACCAGTTAATCCTCAGAGGAACATGCTGGCACCCACTCTCCGAGAATGCCTACGTCAGTGCCAGCGATAGAGGGAAGGGGACCCCCGCCCCGAGCGACACGTGGTAACGCCGTCATCGCCAAGTCAGCTGGCTCAGGAAGGAATGGAGTGTTCTTCTGCTTGCGGGATGCCACTGTATGTGTTAAAGTTTAGCATTTCCGAGAAAAACTTCAAAATCGAAGTCAACCAGCTCAAATACAATCTTCCTTTATAAAAACAATTCAAACCTTAAGAGGTTGTTCTTATCGGCTACAACCACCTCCTCTTGGAAGAGGAGAGCGCGGCGTCAGACCCTCCGCCCCTCGGCGGTAGGGTGTGATCGCCAGCCGTCCCGACCCGACCGCAGGCGGAGCTCAAACCCTGGCTTCAGCAGTTTTCACAGAACTGCTCCAACCTGGCCGACTCGCAAACCGTCGCCGCAGGACGGCGCATTGCAGAGCCAGCAGCTCATCTGGAGCCCTGCCCCGCGGGCGCAGGGCGCGAGAGCGGGGCTCACCGAGCGGGGGTCACTGGGCCGAGGTCGCTGGGCCGGGGTCACCGAGCGGGGCTCGGCCTGCGGGCGCTCCCTCGGGCGAGCTGGGCACTGGGCCCGCGGTGCTACCGCGCACAGCGCCCTGACCGACCGCGCACAGCGCAGACGCGCCGCTCACAAGACCCATGGCTGCGATGGGGAGCATCGCTGCCTGTGCTGGCGGCGAGGCCAGGCGGGCGGCCGAGGCAGGACGGCCTCCGCGACACCGACCTGCGTACGCGCGCGG